ACTAGCTCTGCATCCTCCACCGTCTAGCACCACCACCTCCGATCGCCAGAAGAAATGTCATCTTATGTAAAAAATGTCATATTTCTCTGAAAATGGCATAAAGATGCCATTTTTGCTCTTTGAAAATATTCAGCTTTCTTTTCAAAATTGCCATCACGATGACATTTTTTCCAACTTAGCAATCTTTTTCCGCGACCGGAGGTGGCAGTGCTAGAATGTGGTTGTGGTGGTGGTTGAGGTTTGTATATTTTTATTTTTATTTTTTACGATTTTTACTTTTTATTACGTTTTATAATGATTATTTAAAAAGACCTTTTAGAAAGTAAACCTCTTTAGCAACTTTCCGTTTTCGTACTACTTTCCTAACTCATGCTTGAGTGTCTAACGTAGCTTTCCAAAAAGTCTACGAGTGTCCTATTTTCGACTAACAACTTTATTTAACCGCTTACCTCAAAAATCAGGGCAATTACCTATTGAAACCTTTCAACGAGACGGATAGAGTACATATTAACAAACATTACAAAAATTAATATGTTCAAAAATTCACATTTATAGAAATTTACAACATTTTATGTAGAATAATTTGATGATATACATTTGTAGAAAATTGAAGTCAAATAAGGTGTGTGAATAGTGTAAAGAATAAAATGTTTCAACTATTAAAAAACGGAGGAAGTAAGAGGTAATAAACAATAAGGTTTTAGTTATTGTCTCATATAGGAGTAAAACATAGGGGAAATTCCTAAATAGGAGTGTGTATGTTTTTTTCCCTAAATAGGACCATCTTACTCCTATTGGTAAACCTACGTTAATTTCATTCCCCATTTGCCCCTGATTTATGATGCTTGGTCTACTTCTCTCTTGCGCACAGATAGATCCCTTCCTCCTGCGCACAATTCATCGCCATGGTACTCCTCCCTTCACGCCACCGCTGCCGACTTCCCTATGCACCACTGTCGCTGCCATAGACTCTTCTCCACCTTGCGCCGCACCAGATCGATTGTTCTCCCTGCGCACCGTCATCCATTCCTCTTTGTACATCGCTGACATGTTTCTTCTTCTTCTTCTTCTTCTTCTTCTTCTTCTTCTTCTTCTTCTTATTATTATTATTATTATTATTATTATTATTATTATTATTATTATTATTATTATTATTATTATTATTATTATTATTATTATTATTATTATTATTATTATTATTATTATTATTATTATTATTATTATTATTATTATTATTATTATTATTATTATTATTATTATTATTATTATTATTATTATTATTATTATTATTATTATTATTATTATTATTATTATTATTATTATTATTATTATTATTATTATTATTATTATTATTATTATTATTATTATTATTATTATTATTATTATTATTATTATTATTATTATTATTATTATTATTATTATTATTATTATTATTATTATTATTATTATTATTATTATTATTATTATTATTATTATTATTATTATTATTATTATTATTATTATTATTATTATTATTATTATTATTATTATTATTATGCCGGAAGCCCAGGTCGAATAGCTGATCGGGATGGGTGACCTCCTTGATGGTCACGAGCTTGTCTTTCCCCTCCGGAAATGCTGAGATCTTGATACCGTCTTTCTCTAGACTGGCGTTCCCAACCTTCAGGTGACACCAGAAGTGGTGGCGAAGGACATCGGGGAACAGATTTTCTGCCATCATGATGTAGCAGAACCGGTCCTTGCAACCCTTTTGAGAATAGCGTACCTCTGAAATGCACCTCTACTCGGGAACTTGTTGCAGGTTAGAGAAACCATCGCTGTTAGCGTGCCCTCCCCGGCAGAGATTGAAGCATAAAAAGAACAAGTCCAGACTCGGCTACACACCACAAGTCCGGTAGAGATACAGGAAGCCAGCCAGATACGAGTGGCTATTTGGAGTCAACTGGCAAGGGGGCAACCCCACGAATCTCAAATACTTGAGGACGAAGGGATGGAAGAAAAATCAAAGCCCTAAGGCGACTGAAAGGATGTGAACAACAAAGCACCCTTCGGGAGGACTGGACAAAACGTCGTCAGGGCCTGGCTAAACCACCGTCGCTGAGGGCCTGACATAGAACTGGGTCAGGTGGTAATCAGAGTCATCAGCCTTTGTCTTCAACACCAGGGCCTCAGTGTTCAAGAAATAATGCCTCTCGGGTATTCCCACGGGTTGCCCGACATCTACTGCAGCCTGCTTCTTCTGTGAGGGAGCCTTCACCCTCCTCCTCCTTTGGAATTATATACGCTCCTCCTTTGCAGATGAGGAATACGCGAAGTGGCGAACCAGGCATGCATCAAAGCCTTGCCCTAGTCTAATTTTTTTTGTAATTCATTTGGTTTTATATCAAAACCGAACCGAAACCACCTCTAAGTAATACTAGTATACTACAAAAAAAGGGCTCTTCCAATTTTTTGGGCTCTGTGCGGTTGGACACCCTGCACACCGCCAAGGCCGGCCCTGCACACTTTGTCCCACCGAAGGGACAGGATGCTCTGTATAGCCGGTGTTGTTTGGGTAGGTTCTCAATAGAGTTTTTTAATGAATTTTTTTGATCATGTTCCTCATCAAGTTTAATTTTTCCATTAAAAGTTTCAACTAAAAATTCAATCAGGAAGGTAGTCAAATAATTGTTTGAAGATAATTGGGCCAAAATATACATATAAAATACACTTATTTTCACAAATTTATTTGATGACCTTCCCGATTGAATTTTTAGATGAAACTTTTTGTGGATAAACTAGACTTGATGTGGAACACGACCAAAACACTTCATCAAAAAAGTCCACTAGGAACCGCTCCAAAAGGAGGAGGCTGCATGGAGCATCATATCCCTTAGATTTGACATGATCTTTTCCGTATATATATAGAATGGGAATTTTTTTGAATTTAAGTACTACGAAGTACTATCGTATGTTTTTTCTTTAATAGGAGTAATTTATATTCTAAAATGATAGTGTCATATTTTGACAATAAAGTTGTTTTAAACTAAATTGAACTGAAATTTTCTGATTTGATTTGACCTAATCTGATTTGGTCTTGTCGGAATTGGTCTACTTTAGTAAATGTCTATTTTATGTGTAATTTATGACAATCGAAGTTTGATCAGGTCTCATCTTATCAATTTAAGTATGGTCTAATCTTATATGGATATGCTATCAAAATCAATTCAATTAAAAACATGCTAATATAATAATTAGCCATACTTTCCAGGGATACTTTCCAAGGATGGTGCGCCCAGGGGCGGAACTACACTAGAGCTTGGGGGTGCTTGTGCCCCTGCAGCTCTGCAGATTTCTTTTTGTTATATATATAGAGAGAAATTTTCAGGTCCAGCACGTTTCAGTCCGAATGCCGTCCGAACACCGCTGTTTGGTGTGGTTCCCGGTGGAATTTTTTGATGAATTGTTTTGAGCATGTTCCTCATCAAGTCTAGTTTATCCATATTAAATTTCAGCGTAAACTTCGACCGTGAAGGCAGTAAAATAATTTTTTGAAGTGAATTGCGTTTTTCTATGTATAATTTGGCGCAGTTAACTTCAACAAATTGTTTGACTGCCTTTGTGATCGAATTTTAAGATGAAATTTGGTATGGACAAACTAGACTTGATGAGGAACATGCTTAAAATATTTCATGAAACAATTCCACCTGGAACCTCCCCAAACGGCGGTGTTCGGACGATTTTCGGACCGGGGGCTGCTGGACAGGAGAATGACTCTATACATATATATTATACATGGTGGTCGACAATCAACTTTTGAATGTAAAAATAATTTAGAACCACAATAAAAATTGATATTGATCAATGTTAATGAGGCAGACTGAAAAGAAAATGTAAGAAAATCTTAACAAAACAAAGGGAGTAATATATTTATGAGCTCGACTACTAACGTTGAAGTTTGGAGGGTTGATTACATTGAGAGAGTTTCTTTGGAATTCGCCGGAATTAGGCCGGAATAAGTGAATAACGCTGGCGACCACTAGGTCTAGCGACTGATCGAGAGCATTATTGTTTTGAGGTGACTGGCGTAGCGGCTTTGCTATTGTGTATTTTGGGCTATAGCCATGTACTGAGCTTGTTATTTTTTGTTGTTGTGGATAGTCAGACTCAAGTTTGACAAAGAATTCATATGAATCGATTTTGCACACAGATTTCTAAAGGTAGTAAAGAGTCGAGCCTTCTGAGGTAATGCGCCCCTCCAAGATCACGAAACTGGTTCCGCCACTGGGTGCGCCCGGTTGCAAAACGGCGGAGTATTGTGGCCCGGTTCCATTATTTTTTATTCCTTTTATTGTTAAAAATTGTAATAACTTTTTTATTTCATACATGACTTTTATAAATTTCATATTAAATTTTTGGGATAAGGGTCAAATAGGGCCTCGAACTTGGAAAAAATGTCAAATAAGGCCATATTTAGGATGCTCTGTCCGGCCGACGCCATTTGGGGCGGTTCCCGGTGGAACTTTTTGATGATTTTTTTTTGAGAATCTTATTCATTGAATCTAGTTTACTCATATCAAATTTGAACTAAAACTTCAATCGGGAAAGCATTCAAATGAATTCTTGAAGATAACTACTCTTTTAACTGCGCAGTTATCTTCCAACGGGACGGAGGGAGTACTACGTAAGATGTTATTGGGGCCACCATATACCGACCTAAAACCGCATCATCCAAAAGTTTCTCTTCAATTTGCCGACTACGAATAACACTATATAATTATCTTTGTGTATATACTCCTCCGTCCCGTAAAATGACCAAATTTCTCTTTGTGAATGTCCCAAAAAATTTTGTCATTTTCATTTATTTTTTCTCTTTTTCATAAATTTCAACCACACAATTTTTTCTTTATTTATATACTAATATCTTTTGGGACTAAGGCTTGGATATTGTTGTTGTATTGTTGTTGTATGTGCAAGTCAACTTTGGTCAAGTTTTGTGTGACTCATACGATATGTCTCAAGCAAGGTAATTAAGGTTTCAATTTCCCTCCACTTATTTCTGCCCCACGTGTCAATAATCTCCCCAAATGACAAGAGTATGCATGTGTAGAACTGATAAAATGGACGGAAGGGGCAAACGGATCCGACAAATGTCACATTTGATCGTTAAATCACTAAAACGGTCCCATTTTCTTTGAGGGAAATGAGTCAAATAAGATTTTGTACCATGACTGGATCATCATATAAGGTGTCATATAAATACTAAAACGGTCATGTATTTAATAGAGTGAATCATAACGACAACTTCATAATTCCGATTTTAGCAAGGACTTTACTCTGAATGAAAATAAAGAAGAAAACATACCACTTGAGGAATTCCGAGAACCGAAAAGATGATCAAAGTGTGAAATAATGGGAAAGGTTACTTCCTGAGGAGCCCTGGCAGATATATTTATATTAAAAAGAGTTTAATGTAAAGTACAATACTAAGCCTCTAATAATTCTATTACACCCCCTCAAACTGTGCGGGAGATACAACGCGCAGGTTGTCTTTCAAAAAATGAAAACGTTGACTAGAGAGACTTTTAGTAAAAATATCTGCTAGCTGTAGATGAGTAGGAACATGTTTAACAATCAGATCTCCATGAGCAACCCGTTCGTGAACAAAATGATAATCAATCTGAATATGTTTACTGCGAGCATGCTGAACTGGATTTGCAGTCAAGTAAGAAGCAGATATATTATCACATAATAAATGTACCGGCTCTGAGATAGGCCATCCAAGTTCGAACAGTACTGAGCGGATATGTAGTGTGTCTTGTACTGTGTAAGCAATGGCACGATATTCCGCTTCTGTGGAGGACTTGGACACAGTGAGCTGCTTCTTAGCCTTCCAGGAAACCAAAATAGGACCCAAAAATACAGCAAAACCTGTGGTGGACCGAGAACTATCAGGACAACCTGTCCAATCTGCATCGGAGTAAGCAACTACACATGTTGGCCGATTAGACTGCTGAAGCCAAAGGCCATGATCTCGTGTTCCCTGCAAGTACTTGAAAATTCTCTTGACTGCAAAAAGATGAGTGGTACGAGGAGCATGCATGAACTGAGACACTAAGTGTACTGCATAAGTAATATCTGGTCGTGTCAAAGTTAAATATTGTAATGCACCAACCATGCTGCGATACTCAGTAGAATCAGACAATAACTCACCATCAGAAAGAGACAGAGTGGTACGGGAAGCTAACGGGGTGCGAACAGGTTTTACAGTATGAAGATGAAAACGAGCTAGAAGGTCAGTAACATATTTATGTTGAGAGAGAAACATACCTTTAGCTGAACGAATAGCCTCAACACCCAGAAAATAATGGAGATTACCCAAGTCTTTCATAGCAAAATGTTTAGAGATAATTGAAATAAATTGGGTACCAGATGATTCAGAATTGCCAGTAATAATAATATCATCCACATATAGTAATAAATAAGTAATAGTATTCTTCTGGTGGTATATGAACAAAGAATTGTCAGATTTGCTACAGGAAAAATTATGTTGTAGAAGAAAGCTACTAAATCTATGAAACCAGGCACGTGGAACTTGCTTAAGGCAATAAATGGCCTTGCGCAGACGACATATATGATTAGGAATGTGAGGGTGAATAAAACCACGGGGCTGCCGCATATAAACTTCTTCTGTCAGATTACCATGTAAGAAGGCATTTTTAACATCAAGTTGTCGTATACCCCACCCAAAAGAAATAGCTACAGTAAGTACAATACGAACAGTGGTGGGTTTTACGACAGGACTAAAAGTTTCAGAGAAATCGATACCTGCCTGCTGATTAAAACCCTGTGCAACTAATCGAGCTTTATGGCGCTCTAAGGATCCATCAGAATGATATTTAGTTTTATAAATCCACTTACATCCAACAATATTTTTAGAGTTATCAAAGGGCACCAAGTCCCACGTATTATTATTAATGAGTGCATTAAATTCATCAGCCATCGCCTCACGCCATTTTAATTGTTTATTTGCCTCAGTAAAACAGGTAGGATCTGCAGCGATAGTAACTGTACTTAAATTAAAAATGGTTTTAGGCTTAAAAATTCCTGACTTAGCACGGGTTTGCATGGGATGGTGATTAACTACCGTAGTGGACGTAGGTGAGGTGGTTTCAGGTGAGACATTGTCGGTTGAGGTTGTTTGTGGCGTGCTGGACGAAGTATGGGAGGAGACATGTGATGGTGGAGGGCTGGTTGTGGACGTGGGGAAGGAGGGATGGGGCGATGGGACACACGGAGTGATAGGAGTACTTGGTGACCGAGGTCGCGATGGGGGGGGGGGGGGTGCGGCCGTAATTGTGGGAACAGACTGGACAGGTGGGTTAAGAGTGATATCGGTGAGATGCATAGGAGATGGTGTAGTAGTAATAGAATGGGATGGAGCAGACGAGAGAGTTTTAAAAGGATATGTGTCCTCATGAAACCTAACATGACGGCTAACATAGACTCGACCTGTGAAAGGATCCAAACAACGATAGCCTTTATAACCAGATGCATAGCCAAGAAAAACACACTGAATTGAACGAGGTGATAATTTATTGGCTGAGGTGGCATTAAAATTTGGATAACAGGCACAACCAAATACTCGCATAAAGGAGTAATCTGGAACACGGTTAAAAAGTTTTTGGTACGGAGTAAAACCATTTAAGGTAGGAGAGGGTAATCTATTAATAATATATGCAGCAGTGAATATGGCATCGACCCAATAGTGACTCGGAACCGAAGCTTCAAGAAGCATGGTCCTAGTTAACTCAAGTAAATGACGATGCTTGCGCTCAGCAACCCCATTTTGTTGAGGTGTGTCAGGACAAGATTTTCGAAAATAAATGCCATTAGCAGAAAAAAATTGCTGCATGTTATTATTAACAAATTCACCTCCCCCATCACTTTGAAAAATTTTAATTTTCTGATTAAAAAGATTTTCAACCAAAGCTTTAAAATTTTTAAAGTGCATGAAAACTTCATTTTTGTGACACATGGGATATATCCAAGTATAACGAGAAAAATCATCAATGAAACATACATAATACTTGAATCCCAAATTTGAATACACAGGTGACTGCCACACATCAGAATGAATAATTTCCAAAGGAAAAACAGAATTATGACTAGCATCCATAAAAGGCAAACGTTGTGATTTTCCTAAACGACAAGCCACACACTCATGAGTAAAGGGAGTATGACTACATAAAAATTGTTTTCACTTAAGAAACTGTAAAGTACTATCACCACAGTGACCTAATCTACAGTGCCACACAGGGCCAGAAGCTAAAATGGAAGCAAAAACTAATGGTTATGATGACGGCAGATGGAGAGGATAAAGTGGCCCGCTACTGGTAGCTCGCAGAAGTATTGCCCCCGTTGCTTTGTCCTTAATCAAAAAAGAATTTTTATCAAAAATTACAATACAATTATTATCAGCATAGAGCCTTTTAATGGAAATTAAATTATATTTTAACTAAGGCACATGATAAACAGATTTTAAAGTGAGAGGACGACCAGATGTAGGTAAAGCAACATCGCCAACATTACATATGGGAAGATGGGCACCATTGGCAACACTAACAGAATTATAGCCGGTGTAGGAAGATTTATTAACTAAAATACCTTCAGATGCAGTCATATGAGCAGAAGCTCCTGAATCAGGAAACCATAGAGCAGGAGTAGTGTCACCGGAAGTAGTCAACAGAGCAGGAGACGTCGGTTGTGTGAAACGAGAAGGACAGTTAATGGCAGAATGACCTGCAGAAAAACAAATTTGACAGACAACAAGATGGGGAACAGATCCGAGAATACCCCCGTCTGATGGCAAGCCTGCATTACTACGGTCAGTAACACAGATAGGTAAAACATTAATATTTAAATGTGACACAGCAGAATTACAAATAACAGTACCCGTAGATGTCACACCCCCTGCAGGTGTACTCGGCTGCCCACCCCCTCCGGGGTAATAAACTGGCTGTCCCTAGGGGAACCAATATGCCTGTTGTTGCTGTCCTCGGCCACACCCTCTGCCTCCGCGGCCTCTGCCGCGCCCACGTCCTCGACCGCGCTGTGGTGCGCCGTACTGCGAAGGTTGCCCGACCGGGTAAGACTGCTACCCAACCGGGTGCGTGGATCCTGAATGCTGCTGAGTCGACTGCTGCCCAGACGGCTGTCTGGGAGAAGAAACAGCTGCACCAAACGCCTGATGAAGGGACTGGGACTCCTGGGAGCGGAGATACAGGATCCTATGCTCTAACTCAAGAAGATGATTACGGAGAGTCTCAAACGGGAAATTTTGTCCAAATAAAGACACAACAGTGAATAAAGATTCATACTCAGGTCCTAGTCCCATAATAGTAGTTTTTAAAATTTCACGCTGAGGCACAGGGCAGTTGATTGTGGCAAGATCATCAGCTAATGTTTTAATTTCTCGCAAATAATTATCCATGGATTGATCAGGTTTCTTTTTAATTTGATTAAATAAACGCTTTAATTCCATAGATCTCGCTAAACTGGCAGACATAAACCGAGACTCCAATCGCTCCCAAATTTCATATGAATGTTTTAAATCACGTACATCGATAAGAACATCCCTAGACAGTGTTGCAAATAACCATGAACGGATGGTTTGATCAATTCGCAACCAAGTAGAAAATTCGGGATTGAGAGTCTGACGGTTAAGAGCATCTATGGAGGTACTTTGGGCCAGATCCATGAGGCCATGCCAAGGAGAGCTTGGGACACCAAAAATGATTCAAACTGTGTGCGCCAGGTAGTGTAGTCTTCTACCGCTAAAAATTTGGTAGTCACAATATTTGTGACATTAGTTGCCACATGAGAGATACTTTGGGCCAGATCCATGAGGAGTGAACCGGTCGGGCTGACTGCTGGTGTGCGAGAGGGAGGGAAGACAGAGGAAACACCATGTGAGCCGACAAAAGTGGGACCGGAAAATGATGATCCAGCCGAGAAGGGTGGCGAGAAGAGCCCTGGGATAGTCGGCATGGTAGGCGGCTGCCATGGAAACGCCAGAGGAAACAGGGAGTCGGCAGCGTTGGGGATACTCGGTCCCGACTGAGAAGAGAACATCTGTGGCGGCGCTGTTACGGAGAAGGCAGCGTTGGTTATGGCTGCGTCGGTGGAGGCAGGGTGGACCGGCACCGTGATTGAGGAAGAAGGTGCCACGGTGGACTCTGCGGTAGAGGCGTGCAGACCCTCGGCGGAAGTCATTGAGCGGAAAGAGGGTTTTAGGAGAGAGAAAATTTAGGGCTCTGATACCATGTGAAATAATGGGAAAGGTTACTCCCTGAGGAGCCCTGACAGATATATTTATATTAAAGAGAGTTTAATGTAAAGTACAATACTAAGCCTCTAATAATTCTATTACAAAGCTCCAACTTTAACACCGCCGGTAGGCCCAAGGTGTTGGCCGTGAACGCCGTGCCTCTCCGTCTTCTTCGCCAGTTTTGTTACCAAAACTGTCATCCCCAAGCATATCACCAAAATGAAGTTTCCGCCGCCCCACAGCTTGTTGACCCGGCCGACTCGGTGAGCCAAAAGCTCCAACCCGAGCGACATGAAACTGAGAACGATGGAGTTGAGCAAGAGGCCGAGGGAGCCGGCGTGCACTCTGCGGTCGTACAGGCCACCGTCGCCGACCTTTCCACCGTACACCTCCTTCGCCATCCAATCGGTGTCGTACAACAAGAACGGGAACCAGGCGAGCCAGTTGAGGCACGTGACCAGGAGGAGGATCCACATTGGCCTCGGGAGGTCCTTAAATGCCCCGAGGAGCTCGCCGAAGAATGGGACCACCTTCCCCCGCCTCTTTCTCCGTCCCCCCCCCTCTCGGTGCCGTCGTCGTCGTCATCTTGTATCCCCGGCAGCTCCTTCTCCGTGACGGTTGCTATGGACACCGTTGTTATTGAGAGTAAGAGAGTCACGGAGATGAAGAAGCAGCTCTTGAGGTTTGCACAGTAGATGTCGCAAGCTGTTGTCTTGGGGAATGGAAATATCTTGTAGAGGCGGGAGCATGAGCCGGCGGCGTAGCCCAGAACATTTCCGACCACCATGAAGAAGGAAAACAAGGCGTTCGCCGTCCTCATTCTCCTCTCCCTCCCGCCGGAGAGATCTGCCAACAGTGCTCTCTACACGGTCCCTGAAAATTATGCACTCGTTTTTTAAATTTCTAATAAGTTGATCTATTTTTTATGAGGGGCAGAAGTGGTGGCGTGGGCTTTGGTGGCCTCCATCTCGTCAAGCCGGCGCTGGAGGGCCGCAATGATTTCGTCCCGGGTGTGAAATCATGTCATTCCTCGACGCATTCCGCGGATATCATCAAATATACATACATGAGGAGGACGCTGAAAAAACAGCCTTCATGACTCCCGAGGGCATCTTCTGCTACCTTGTCATGGCATTCGGCCTAAAGAACTCAGGCGCCACCTACACTCGGATGGTGGCCAGGGTATTTCAAGCTATCCTAGGGCGCACCATGGAGGCATATGTTGACGATATGATCGTCAAAAGCAAGCAGTCAGCAAACCATGCTGACGACCTGAGGGAGATCTTCGCCATCATGCAGAAGTTTAGCCTTCGGCTGAACCCAAAAAAGTGCACCTTCGGCGTCCAGGGGGGCAAATTCTTGGGCTACATGGTGAGCCGAAGGGGTATCGAGGCCAACCCCGAGAAAATCCAGGCCATCGTCAACATGGAGCCCCCACGCAACGTAAAAGAGGTCCAACGATTGACAGGCCGCCTGGCAGCCCTCAATCGCTTCTTATCAAAATCGGCGGAGAAGTCCTTACCCTTCTTCCAGATCATGAGGAAAACCGCCGGTTTCCAATGGACTTCAGAATGTCAGGGGGTATTCGAGGAGCTGAAACGGTACTTATCTTCACCCCCTGTGCTCTCTAAACCCAAGGTAGGGGAGATCCTGTACCTCTACTTGGGTGTTAGCCCGGCTGCCATCAGCTCAGTACTCATCTGGGAAGAGGATAGCATCCAGCATGCCATCTTCTATGTTAGCAAGACCCTCAGGGAGGCAGAACTCCGGTACTCCCCCGTGGAAAAAACGGTGTTGGCTATCGTGTGGACCGTCAAGAAGTTGGGTCATTACTTCCAGGCTCACCCAGTCCAGGTCCTCACTCACCAACCTCTCGGCGCCTTGATGAGGAGCCCCACTAGCTCCTCCCGAATGGTAAAATGGGCTCTCTTTTGAGCCAATACAACATCGACATCCGTCCTAGGCCCGCCATCAAGGGCCAAGCCCTAGCGGACTTCGTGACGGAGTGCACGGCAAAGGCAGCCACGGACGAGGAGCCCTCGGCCCCTTCAGATGACTGGTGGACCCTCTACACCGACGGCTCCTCCGCCATCAAGGCATGCGGAGGAGGGGTGGTTCTCATCTCACCCGAGGGCTTCCGGGCCTATTATGCGGTCCGTTTCTCCTTCAAAGTCTCCAACAAAGAAGTCAAATACGAAGCCCTCCTCTGTGGCCTTCGGCTGGCAGCTAACATGAGGGCCCGGCAGATCCACGTCAAATGCGACTCCAAGTTAGTCGTCGGACAAATCTCCGGGGAGTACGAGGCCAAGGAAGGGAGAATGAAGCAATACAAGGAGGCGGCCAAGGAGTTGCTTAAGGTATTTGAGGCACACTCTCTTACTCAAATACTGAGGGCTCAAAACTCTGAGGCCGACATTTTATCAAAACTCTCGGCAGAATCCCCTGAGCATATCTCGAAGATTGCCAAGGTAGAAGAACTCAGCCTCTCTAGCATACATGCTAGCCCCGTCATGAATATACAACAAAGACAGGAGGACTGGATCTCAGATATTGTTGCCTTCATCACCATAGGGCAACTGCCCGAGGAGGAGTCCCGCGCCAAACTGACAAAACTGAGGGCTCTCAGCTACGTTATCGAGGACGGAAGGCTTTACAAAAGATCCTACAACGGGACATTACTTCGGTGCCTTCATCGAGATGAAGCCGAAGTAGCAATGGAGGAAATGCACAGTGGGACTTGCTCTGCTCACCAGGGACCCTTCTCCATGTCCCGAAGGCTGATAATCCAGGGCTACTTCTGGCCTACAATGGCCTGGGATTGTGCGGACCTTGCCCGGAGGTGTCCCGCATGCCAGCACTTCCAGAAAGCCCCCGGCAGGCCAGCGGTCAACTATGCCCCCATCAGCACATCCATACCTTTCGCTCGATGGGGCATAGACCTTGTGGGCCCTCTGTCGAGGGGTACCTCCAACAACAGGTACATCATCGTCGCCATCGATTACTTCACCAAATGGGTGGAAGCGGAGCCCCTCGCCAGCATCACTGAGGCCAGGTGCCGCCATTTTGTTCTCAAAAACATCCTCACCAGGTTTGGCGTCCCTCAGCAAATCATCTCCGACAACGGGACTCAATTCGCGACAGCCCCCTTCTGTGCCCTCCTAGAGGCGTGGGGCATCAAACACACCTTCTCATCCGTCGCTTACCCTCAGGGTAACGGTCAGGTGGAAAACGCCAACAGGACCCTGCTTGAGGGCCTAAAGAAGAAGCTGGAGGCCGAAGGAGGTGGTTGGGTGGAAGAGCTCCACAACATCTTATGGGCCTACCGTACCACCCCTCGGCGGGCAACTGGCGAGACACCCTTCTCCCTTTGCTACGGATTTGAAGCCAAAGCCCATACTGAAGTAACTCTCCCAACCCGAAGGGTCACGCAGTATGATCCGGAGGCCAACGACACCAACATGGCCCTCGATCTCCACCTTATTTCAGAACGCCGGGAGCAAGCCTTCATACGCGCAGAGAACTACCGAAGGCAAGTGAAAAGTTACATTGATGCCAAGGTTCGCTCCCGGGAATTCCAAGTGGGGGACTATGTTCTCAGAAGAAGGGAAGCTAGCCAACCAATCGAGGGCGGAAAGATGGCACCAAAGTTCGAGGACCCCTACATCGTGGCAGCCATCATCAAACCGGGAACTTACAAATTAAAACGCCCTAACGGGGCTGAAGTCCCTAGGCACTGGAATGTACATCACTTAGTTAAATTTTATCAATAACATCAGAGCGGCCAAGCCCTCATAACTAGTGAATGTATCATTTTACGGCCCAAGACCTAAGAGTTATGAAGAATGAAGGCATTTTGAAGACATCGGGAACACGGAACGAGATTATCACAAGGGCCAAGCCCTCATATCACCCCAGGCCCAAGGCCTCACCACAATAGAAGAACCCTCGGCACCAAGTGCCGAGGGTAGACAATACTATCACCTGCAACAAAGCACCACCCGTCCTCAAAAGAAGACCCCTCGGCACCTGGTGCCGGGGGGGGGGGGGGGGGTAAACCACTATCAACTCTCAACCAATGGGAGGAAACACCAAGTGTTCCCACAGAAGACCCCTCGGTACCCAATACCGAGGGTAGACAACACAATCACCTTCAACAAATGGGAGGAAACACCAAGTGTTTTCACAGAAGACCCCTCGGTACTAAGTACCAAGGGTGGACACCACAATCCCCTACGACAAGTGAAGGAAAAACACCAAGTGTTTTTACAGAAGACCCCTCGGTACCAAGTGCCGGGGCCACACATCGGAACAAACACCAAGTGTTGTTTCTAAGCCGTACCCCTCGAGGACGCCTATACCGAAGGCGCCACCTATCGGTGCCGGCAGCACGTAGTGCACCCGGCCATTTGCAACCAGTGTGCAAATGAAAACCCTTCCCTGAAACGCTTTCCGCGTCATCACCCCAAGGGTATGACAGGCATGAGAAATGCCCAGGATTCGACTTTCAAAAACGGAACGCTTTCCGCGTCACCACCCCAAGGGTATGACAGGCACGAGAAATGCCCAGGATTCGACTTCCAAACCGAAACGCTCCCCGCGCCACCACCCCAAGGGTGTGGCAGGCCACAGACTATGTCTAGCGCCGATGGGACGACTTTCAAAACTGAGGCGCTTTCCGCGCCATCCCCCAAGGGGAGGCAGGCTACGGACCACCATATCTTGTGCCCAGGAAACGACCCTCGATCCCCTCGGAACTCGGAAAGTCAACACGAGGGGGGAGCTAATGGTGTATTCTGTTACCTCCCGATAGGCCAAGCCTTACCAAGAAACAAAGTTTCTTGAAGCCTTCCCTTCACTACTAAAAAAAAAGGTGGTGAAGGGGAGTAGACTCGGTGAGAAATCAAGGAGTACATCACTCCAACAATTTACAAAAACATACCGAGGGCTCCCCACGGGAACACCTTCGGTACCTTGGAAGTTCACAAGTACAAAGGATACCGCTCACAACAGACATCATCAACGAATGGCTAAGTCCACTCAAGGATTTCCTCCGGCTATACCTAAAACCGAAGGCCCAAACAACTCAAAAATCACCGAAGGGCACCATATGACAAACAACCGAAGGCTTTTGTTACCATAGCCCAACATTGCAAATCAAAGGAAACTATCCTGAACCTACAACGTATACAGCCGAAGGGTCCTCCCGAAGGCCAGCGGTAAGAAATACTTGGAAAAAATAGTCTAAGCCCTAAATGCTTTGCCCCTTGTGGAGCCATCGGTCAACCGAAGGCGTATCTGAGACAAGGCCCTCACAGTCACCCGAAGGCCCCTACTTCACACATACTACACTTAGAAGTATTTTCTAAGTCCTACATATTTTGGCCTTCGGTCAAATCTCCATGCTGCCCGAGGGGCCATGCGGTTGAAGACTTGGTGAAGCTATACTTAGAAAATTTTTTTAAGTCCTACATACTTTGACCCTCGGTCAAATCTCCATGCTGCCCGAGGGCTCCTACTTCATACATGCTACACTTAGAAATATTTCTAAGTCCCAAAAGTTCTTACCCTCGGTGACAAGTTTCTAAGTCTCGAATCTCCCTGCAACCCGAGGGGTCACACGATTGAAGGCTTGGTAGGACTACACTTAGAAATATTTTCTAAGTCCTAACTATTGCTGGGCCCTCGGTCATATATTCAGCGAAGGGTGCCCAACTACCAAAGGCTAAAACTGTATTCAAACACTTAGAAAAATTTTCTAAGTCCTAAACACCTCACCTCCGGTCATCTCGTGAAGGCTACATACTACCAGAGGGAAGGATTAGCCGGGGGCCAACAGATGAACAAACACTTAGAAATATTTTCTAAGTCCAGAACATTGTGCCCTCGGTGAAAGGTTCAACTGACTATACTTGGAAGAATATATTCTAAGTCCTAAACATACATTCAGACAAGCGAAGGCATACATTCAAAGAAGGGCGAAGGCATACATTCAAAAAAAAACAAGAACGACGGCATACATTCGAGAAGAAATAAATTAAAGAGGACAAGTTATATACCAAAAGCCCAAAGGCATATGTGCTCATTCATCCGATGAAAGGAAATTCAAAATATACATTACATAGTGGCCGAAGCCGAGAGCATACAAGTGATAGCTAGACAGGATTGTTCAAAAAAATTTCTAAGTATTACACGATGACTACATCGTCAGCAGCAGCAGCATCACCCCCGTCGGCCGGCTTCGACGTAGCGTCCCCCTCGGCATCTTCTTCTTCATCGCTAAATTCAGCCATCAGGACAGTGTCCTCAAGATCTGGCCTGCTGGTGCCCTCGGGAAGGGGAACCCTGGTGCCCGGTTGAAGAGGGGGGAGCCCATAAGTCGCAGGGTCAAACGCCGACGGATCTGCCCCCAGGTGCCTGGCCAGCCTTCGGTAGATGAGAGCTTGAGTGAAGTACTCGCCCCCGTCATAGTATTCCTTCCCCTTCTGGGCCAGCCACATTGCCCCGGGGCCTTTCACCCATTCCTCCACAGAGGACTCAACAACCGTGGCCACCCACGCCCTCTGGGCCTCGGCCTTCCACCCCTCGGCGATGAAGGCTGCCACCCGCTTCCCCCACTGCCTCCTTCTTGGCAGTCTCAACATCTTCGGCAGCCTTCTGGGCGGCCTCAGCAGCTGCTTTCTCCGCTTCGGCCCTCCCCTCGGCTTTCGCCAGGACCTTGGCATTCTCGAGGAGTTTCTCGAAAGCCGCCCTCTCCACCTTGGAAGTCTCCTCTGCCTCCCGGAGCCGCCTTTGGGCCGCGGCCAAGGACTCGTCATCCTTCTACTTTTGAAGGGCATAGCGCTCCATCCGCTGAATGAGTTCCCCGAGGCCGAGGCTTGCCTACAAAAGAGATCACGAATCACCAAGGTTTAGAACCACAGTGCAAAAAGGGGGAGGAAGGGAACAGGAGGAAAAGGAAGAAGGAAAGGGGAACTTACGGTAACCGAGGCCTGAAGGACCTTGGACCAGAGGGCGTCGTCGGTTTGCCAGGAGAGCACGGATTTATCCGTCGGGTGGGGGGGTGGTGGCCCCCCCTCAGGAACTCCCTCGGGTTCAGCGTGGCATGCATAATGGCAGTCCCCTTGGTGATGGAGAACTGCACATTGTCTTGAGGCCATACCAGGCCGGAGGCCTGGGCAGGGAGCTCGGGGGAGGAATGTTCCTCCACGATGACAACCGGGGCCCCTTTCGGGTCGCCCCCCCCCCCTTCTTCTTCTGCTTTTTCCCCTCCGGGGGCGCCACGGCCTTCCCGGCTCTTTTCCTCTTCAGGGCCTCAACTGGGGAGCCCTCGGCGTTGGAACCAACATCATCGCCGGCAGCAATTTTTTCCTTGGGCACATTTTCCTGGGCCCCTTCGTTTGCACCCGCCCTCGGGTAGATCTCGTCCAACCCCCTCTGTTGCAGTGAGGGGTCTTTCTTCTTGGTCTCCTTTGCCAGCTGTTTCTTCAGCTTAGAAAGGTTCCGGGCGTCCATGTCTGGTCCTGAAAAACAAAGAAAATGCAGGGGAGTTAGGAACATAATATCAAAAGGGAAAACAAAAATAAAAGAAGGGAAAGTATATTCTAAGTATAGAACGGGAGCCCTCGGCAGAATCAACTACCTCCGGCGCTTTGGTAAACCCTATCGACGGGGGGATATCTCTCATCGCTTTCCCCCATCAGCCGATAACGCCGAAAGCCCAAATCATAAAGATCGTCTAGGAGAGTAGCATCCTTGATCTTGGTATGCTTGTCGGACCCCTCGGGCTTTTTGGAGAGCTTCTTTCCTTTCTTCTCCAAGGCAGCGCTTCCTACCTTGACGTGCCTGCGGAAGCTGTCGCGAAGGGGAGCCGAGAAGGGATTCTCGGCCATCCGGATGTAGCAAAACTTATCTTTCCATCCCTTGTGGGACGAAGGGACCTCATCAAAGAGTCTGAACTCTGGGAGCTGCTGTAGGTTGGCAAAGCCACCGGCATTCGAGTCCCCCCCCCCCCCCCCCCCCCCCCCCGCACAGGTTGAAGGAGAGGAAAAACTGGTCCAGCGAAGGCTCCACATCCCGGCTCCGGCAGAGGGAGAGGAAGCCAGCCAAGTAGGAGTGGCTGTTCGGGGTTAGTTGGCAGGGGGCTAGCTTTACGTACCGGAGGTACTCCATCACGAAGGGATGGAGGGGGAACCGAAGGCCCAACTCCACAGAGAGCAGATGCACGGCAAAACAACCGGCGGGGGCGTATAGCAAAATGTCATCTGGCCCCGGCTCCACTACCAATGCCGACGGCTCTACCAGGAGCTGCGTCGTCATGTATTCCCCCCGTGTGGCTCGGGTCTTCACATCCAAAGCGGCAGTGTTCAGGTAGGAGTAGCCTTCGGGTATTCCTACTGGTTGTCCGGCGTCAACGGCAGCCTGTTTCTTCTTCCCGGCAGCCTTCACCTTTCTCTTCTTCCCGGGGGCAACACTGATAGGCGTCGGGTTCAGAGGCTGAGAGCTTCCGGCCTCTGCATTCCGAGGGGGAGGAACGACGACGGTAACCACCATGCTTTCTTTTTGAGCCTCATCCTCGGCCACTTGAAAGGCAAGCGCCAGCTCCTCGTCCTCGCACACTTGCTCGAACTCCTCCGCTTCCAGTTCTAGCCGAAGGCTGGCTTGCACCTCTTCAGCTACCACAGAGTCCTGGTTGACCGAAGTGCGTGCGCTCGAGGACTCCACGTCCGAGATGATCTCCTCCTCCATCTAGGGCGGCCTCGAGATATCCCGAGAGTCGCTTTGTGAAGACATCCTCAACAGCTGAAGGGATGAGGGGTTTCTAGGACAGGAGTTTTCCTAAGGCTGTTAAGCGCTTAACATAAGGCCACACGACTACGACCTACTAATGCTACAGCAGAGGGGCAGAGAACTGACCTCGGAAGAGCGATTGATCGAAGGCAGCTGTTTCTCTCTCTAGGAATTTTGGCAGAGCTTTGCTAACGGATAAAATGCACAAGGGAAGTGAGGCCGGCCAAGGGGTATTTATAGGCGCTGGGATCCGGTTGGACTGCCATCATTACAGACCGCGGTTTCGCCCGATCGGTGACGCCCGCCCACGGGCAGCCAACGAGCACGCACCACGTGGCAACCCCCCCAACGGCTATATCCTGACGTTACATATTCCAACGGCTATATTTTCAACGACTATATTCTGGGAGCCCCCGGGCTTTTCACTTCACCCCACTTCATCAAGGAAAGCCTCCAGGTACACATACCCAGAGACGCTCCCGGGTTGTGCCCCACACAGTACATAACGAATTCCTTCGGGATCACTCCTTCAGAGGCCCAAGGCTTCATATCAGGCCACCCCTCGGGGATCCCCCCTCAGCACTGTGAGGGCCGGGTAGCCCCCGGGGAGTATGTCTCATTGACGGATAGCCTACGGTACACAGGTAGCGGAACCCCTCGGATATCCTCATCACCAACTAATCAACAAACAGGGGACCCCCCGATAACAATTCAACTACTACCCGCATTCTTTACGCCCTCGATCCCCAGATTGGGGGACTCCCCTTCGGCGCCTCCCAGGGTATCAAAAGCAAGCCTCCGGCATCATCATTATTCTCCATTTCGAACCAAGGTTTCACATTTTCGATTCATCGTTGGGGGAATTCGGTGCACTCTTTTTCCCTCATTAGGATTTTTTCCCACAGGGTTTTTCCTAATGAGGTTTTTAACGAGGCATCCCCCCAAAATGAAACGAAAAGCGTCAGCCTTCGGCCCACAACAGCAACGCAACTACTCTACTCCTTTTCACCACTTTGCAAGTGCCTCAAGGAGTGGGGGACTGGAGGACCCCTCGGGGAAAATCACAAAAATTACAAACATGACCCCTCAAGTCCCGACATGTGGGTAACTAAGGGACTGCCCTCGGCAGAATAAACAAACAGCAAACTACCCACAACTCTACAAACGGAACAACGGCAGAGGACAAACACAATTACTCCTTTTTCCTCAAATACCTTTCGGCAAAAGGAGTGAGGGACTCCTGATGGAGTATATGGCCCGGGAACCCCCGGCCCACAGACTCCTACTACTCCAATCAAGGCCCAACAGGCCCAGAAGGCCCAACAGGCCCAAATCACAGCGCCCAGAGTACCAAGCAGCCCACAAATACGCACCAGGGGTGCCTTCGGCCCTTTGGCCGAAGGCTCTTACTCTCACAGGAGGGCCAAGACAGCAAAACAAAGTTACTGGGAAAAACGGCGAAAAACAGTAGCCCTCGGCACCTGGAGCTCTCGGCGCCAAGGGGGTCCCCGGTACTCAGAACCCTTGGCTAGTCCTCTACAGCCGAGGGCACCTTTCCCGACATGATATCCGCGCCACATGCGTACAGATCACCGTACCCTGTACAACGTCCCATCCAACAGCCGCATTAAATGCGGCCACGTGCGGTTGCCAGCGCCAACCAGATGAGGTGACCTCTCGGCCAATGGACGCTTGACACGTGTCCCTGCCCGGCATTTATTGCTACTATAAATAGCACCCCATTTCCCCATTTGTAACCACGCTGAAAACGCTCCACACTTTACAATATACTTTCTCTCTCTATATTTACTTGCTCTGACTTCTCTCTTGTTATTCCCCGTAATAACCCCTCGGATAAGTTACCCCTCGGGTACACTATCCATCAATATATGAATCCGGCTGGCCTATGCAAGTGATTATAACCAAGTGAAGAAGCTAAGGCCGGCCGGATTTTAAAGGAACTCGATCTTGTGGGGCAGTGCTAGGCTGTCACACTCAAAACCGGCCAGTGCAGCTTAATCTTTGATCTAGCTTACTTTATCACCCCAAGAATAGCCCCGCCTGTTCTTTCATTTTTAAGCACTGATCGACTTTCTAATAGGGGTGGACCGGTTCAGGTTCGGGCCCGGCCGGGTCTCGGTTCATGAAGGGGAGGCCCGGAACCGGCCCGGGTAATCCCGGGTCCGGGCCGGGCCGGGCTGATCATCGGTTCTATTTTTTTTTTTTGGTTTTTCCTAGTAAACCCCCAACCCTCCCCCTCACCCCAAACCAACCCTAACCACCTCAAATGGCCTAAAATACCCAGCCCAACCCAAAAACTTAAAAAAATTCAAAAAATAATAATAATAAATTGGCCCGGTCCGGGCCTGAACCGGCCGGGCCGGTTCACCTTTTGAAGGGCCCGAGCCCGAACCGCCATCCCACCGGGCCGGGTGGCCCGAACCGGTCAACCAACCGGTCCGGGCCCGCACAGGAGCGGGCCGTTCCGGTTCCAGGCCGGTTGGCCCGGCCCGAGTCCACCCCTACTTTCTATTAGCTAGAAGGAAACATCGCTGTAGATTTATTACCTTTACCTATTTTAGAACATAGTATGCTCCCTTCTTTAATTCTTGAAACAGTTTGACTTTCATGTTTGCTAACACATAACTTTGACTATAATTATATTTAATTATGTATTACTAAACATTATAAAAGGTTGATATTTTGGAAATTCACATTGATGAGAATTCAATAACATTTTATACGTAATAATTTGATTATATATATTAGTAAAAAATCGTGATAAAAGTAAGATATGCGAATAGTGCCAAAATCACAATGTTGCAAGAATTAAAGAACAGAGGAAGTAAATAGAAGAAAGTGTTTCTCAGCTCAGTAGGTTAATGTACTCCCTCCGTCCCAAATTGATTTGCAAATTAGACTTTTCTTGGTCAAATAATCTTGTTTTATTTGCTTAATAAGGATGTCAATTTTTTATTATATTCTAATTTGGAGATTACATTTTTGAAGAGAGTTTAATGTAGTTTCTGAATATGTAAGTTTTAATTATTAAAAATTGAATTAATTATCCATTGGGAGGATTGACTTTTATTATTAGTTGACAAAAAATTATTGACTTTGCAAAACAATTTGGGACGGAGGAGTATTTGTATCTACCCCTTTTCAACCAAGCCCGCCTCATATATATGTACGTTACATTTTTTAGATAGTTTAAGTTAGGGATGGACTCGGCCTGGTCTGGTTCCAGTTTCGGGCCTGGGCGGGCTTTTTTTTCAAATTGTTGGGCTCGGAACCGGCCCGGGTTGATACCGGGTCCGGGCCTAACCGGGCCAGGCTCGGGTCAAGGTAATTTTTTTTTGCTTTCTAATTAACCCCCGACCCCCCCCCCCCCCTTCACCCCCACCCCCAAACCCCCTTAAAACACCCAGCCCTAACCAAGAAAAACAAAAGAAATTGAAAAAACCAAAAAATAAAAATAAAAATAGCCCGAACCGCCCAGGCCGGTTCAACAAATACAGGGCTTGATCCCGGCCCGCCCAACCCTGCTCAACCGGGTAAAAGCCCAAGCCCGGTTAGCACCAACCGGGCCGGGCCGGGCCCGCATAGTGGTGGGCCGGGCCGGTTCCGGGCCGGGCCGAACCGGTTGGGTCCATCCCTAATTTAAGTTGAATGGATGCGTGCCACGTAGCGCATCTATTACGTCTTCTGGTTTCAAAGACGGTGAAGGTATCGACGTTCTTTTCGGCTGAGCTCACACACCTGAGTTAGATCATCACACTCGATGAAAATATTACGTGTTACCTTAATTGTTTGGCCTAATTTGAGTTTGCATCCTAATTTATTGTTCAAATTAGACTTTGCACTCCGTTTTTAATTTTTTTTTGTATTTGCACCCAATCCCGTATGAGAAGACAAAAATGCCATTCAATCAAGAATATGTTGAAGGGCAACATAATTGTTAATGGGGACACTTTTGTGTTTTGATACGGGGTTTGGGTGCAAATACAAAGAATTTTAAAACCGGAGTGCAAATTTTCATTTGAACAATAAAATAGGGTGCAAACTCGAATTACCCCTAAATTAAAATCCCTAATTGTTTTTAGAAAACTTGAATATAAAAAGTTAGTTAATTGATAAGTTCGTATTACAACATGCACTTGATGTGTGTTGGGATCGGCTTTTGGTGGTTTTCCTAAGTTTAAGGTGTTACAAGTCTC